AATGCTTTTTTGCAAACCGCTTGGTTAAAGTGGATGCAATCTACTTGGAGTTAGCTAAGGCATTTGCTACGGTTCCACACAAACCATTACTGTACAAACTAAAAGTAATGGGGTTAAATTGAATATGTGTTCTGGGATTGCACAGTGGCTTAAATATAGAATGCAGAGAATAGCTGTTTACAGAAATGTTTAAGTGGTAAGTTGCAAACATCAGGATTTTGCCTGGATCCACTTTGCTTTAATTCATTTGTTCATGATCTTCAAAAGACATATGCAGGGGGGCGTGGCCAACAGAGTACCTGACCAGATGTCTTTTTGCTGAGCTCCGTAGAGGCCTACCAGAAAAAAGAATAAAAAGCAACTTACCCCTGTCCTCGGAGCCAGTAATTAATCCGCAGCCCCATCCGCAGCCTGAAACGATGGGGCGCAAAAACAAAAAACTTTTTTGTCCAGAAGCTCCTCGCATGCCGGACAAACGGCTCTCGTTTGAGAGACCAACACAGCCACGACAAAGATGGTGCCTGAGGCCCAATGCGAATCCGAGGCATCGAAGCATCCCAAGAGGACGAAGAACCCCTTGCCTCACCGAGATCCGGGGATTCCTACCCCACATCTGAGTCGGAGGATGACTTGACACCATCCACTAAGGGAGACACCAGAAAACTCCTCTAGGAACTCCGGCAGGTCTGGAAAGAGGACTTACAGGTGGCTCAGTCTGAAATTGGGGTATTTCACAAGAAAGTCAAGGAGATAGAGGCAAGAAAGGTCAACAGAGACAAAACTATCCAGGAAGCCAACAGTCAGATAGAGGGTCCTACCTCGCAGGTACAGAGGCTGACCCGCACTGTTACCATGATTGAGATGTGCCATAGATGCCACAATATATGCCTCTGAGGAATCCTGGAGACAGAAGGGGGTGAAGTGCTCCTGCACTATGTGCACAACCTCCTGTCCTCTATAGGCCTGCATAGAGGCCTTGATCCTTCCCAGATTGTCTTAGCGTTCTGAGAGCGCAAGTCAGCAGCAGCACCTGAGGGAGTACAAAGAGATACCATCGCCATAACCCGGGACGTGGCTATAAGGTCTGAGATTATGAACCGCTCGCGGGCACTGGGGAAGATACGCCATGAGGGTCACACAGTGGATGTATATGCCGATATCCCATTCACAGTCCTCATGGAAAAAAGGAGATTGGCACAGGTACCCAGAAGGCTCAGGAACAGCTCAATAAAGTACCGCTGGGGAATGGAGGGTTCCCTTCTGGTGGACGGTGTCAGAGTATTTATATCGGCAGACATTTTGTGCTATGATAGAAATTAAAAGTGTATATTCTGAGTCACTCTGAACAGAGCAGACTCCATTTTGTTATTTCCAAGTTAACAAAAAGACACAAGATTTCTATCTGTAAAACTAACCACTTTCCCAGAGCTAAGGAATGCATAGTATATACAAACCAAGTGATAAGCAGAAAGGGGGGTTGGATAGACTGTCTATATATATATATAAGGTACCATTGTAAGCTTAAGGTTAAACTTAGTTCATGATCTGCCATTTTAGAAATTATAGCAGGATTTGCCAGACACATAGTCTGGACAAAACTTAAAGAAACCCTTTGATCTGTGAAGGATACGTAAGTTATGGCACTATCTAGATAGGCCAAAATGACGTCAAAATAGCCACCAGGAAAAGTTAACTCTTTCCTGGATAGGTATGTTTAGTGGGACAAGACTGCCCTCTATAGACCAAATAACTAAATTGCGATCTGGAAGATAACCACACCTCTAGTGCTTCTATTGGGTTATCAACTGATGACGTACAGAGAGTCTGGCCCTTTAAAAGTTAGGACAAAAGGAAGATTGGGGAGGCAAAGGAGAAGGAAAAAGAGGAGAGAGGAATTGGAAGTTTGGGGACTCCAACTCACAACATCTGAGACTAACACTCTACTCTGAAAACTCTAACACTTAGAATTTCACTGACTTTCTAACCAACACCACTTTTCACCAAAACTCAATGCAGACAGACGTCCAAATAGGTTCCTGAGACTATCTACCAATCGGATGAAATATCTACTCAACTGGTAATTATACTGGTTTCATTTAATTAAATTAAATTAATTAAAATGTATTAATAGCATTATATATGACTGGATAAAGCACGGTCAGATTTCCATATTAAGAAATCTTAGTTAACTAAAGAATATATAGTTATAAACATTCCATTCTGCAGGTGGAATTAAGAATAATTATATATTAATGTGATAGTATCACGTGTTAGCATACCGCTGTTTTTATCCAGGTGTATTGATTTGCTCTAAATTAAGATAAGATATCTTTTAGACAAATTAAAATCTGCTTATAAAATATGGTAGATTCTCTTATTGGATGGTTCCAGGAAATGACTAATGAACTGGTTTAAATGTTATTTTATTTAAAATTACATAAGAATAGATCTTAACTACTTAGGAGATCTAGCCAGCATTGAAAGGGTTATTCTAACTGTTAGCCAGGGTTTTATGGCCCTTCGCTGTGAAAAGTTTTCCTTTCAGTCTGTGTTAAAGATACCTCATAAATCAGAAGACTTGACAGATAATGCTGTTTTAGCCGTTGAGACGTGTGTAGCCATTTCTTTGTATTGCATACCATTTTATACTGGATATTCATTGATTATTGTCATGCATGTTACATATTATTATTATTAATTAACTTGTTATTATAAATAAATCTATTTTTATAACAAAAATTGTGAATATTATTTATATGAAATACTTCTCACTTAACACGATAACGATCTTTGGATCTGAGAATTGAATTAGTGGGCAATTCTCACTGTTACTATTATTATCCCATAAATATCCCCACAACGGGGGGTGAGAGCCTCATGCAGACATCGTCGGGCGACCCAGAGAACTTCCTGAGCAACCTGGGACTGTTGAGCAACACGCCGGCGGAGACCTCCGTAACACCATCACCCCAAAGACGCAAGACTGAAGACAACATTAAACACAGATCCAATAAGGCACAGAGGGGTGCTACCAAGTAACAGTCCCACATCTAGAGACATTGTCCTCATATACCTCATGCTGATCACACAATGCTCCAAAACACGAGCACTATGACAGAGTGATTAGTTCTATCACCTGCTAACTTAGCATGTTAAATTTTAATTTGAGTTTGTTCCTTAACTTCAGTAGGTTTCCTTTCACACTTCCTACCTAGAAATTGGGCACCGTCAGAAAGCCAGAGTATATGGGACTTAGGGATACACAACCACAAGCTATACATATGATGTTGTTTAGTGCCTCACAGACCACAAACTACTTAGGTATATCAGACCCTTGTAGTGGGTTCCCACACTACTTTAAGTCAGTGTCACTAGGGTAATGCGCATGCGCAATATACTGCTATTTACATTAAACAGCAGCAGATAGCAAGGGCCACGCAGTCCTGTTAATCACCCTCCTGGATGGGGGTCGAAAAAGTTAGCCACACAGACTGTCGACTGTACCCTGCGAACCATGCACTAGCACTTAGAGTGGCAGTTAACCCACGGGCCGCAACGAAAGGAGGGTCATTTAGGGTGTGGCAAAACCAACCTCGTCACTATGTTCTGGAGAAACCTGGTTGCCCGCCTGCTCTTTGGACTATGGCCCAGTGTTAAAAACCTTTATTTCTCCCTGCAGAAAGGCTTGGTCATGCCTTTTTGCCAGGGTGTTCGGTAAATTCAATTTACCGAACAAACGCACGAATGACCGGACCACCTGAGTATGGAGTGTGCAGGCAATTGATCTCCCAGAAGCTGCGGTTAACCACAGCTTAATTGACGAACGCTGGGTGGCCGTTGTTCGTATAGCCGAACAAGTGGCAACGGCCATCTTAAACTGCCGAACGGCCAGCGGTATTCAGCTACAAAACCGTGGAACTAAAAATGGACACTTATATTCACGAACCACCTGAGCCACCAACCTCCCTCCTCCTGCATTTATACGAACGCCGGTCCATTCGGTACTTTCTCTGTGTGAACAGTGCTACCCCAGATACCTATGCCATGGAGCACATTCGTATAATGAAAGACTATGTGAAAGACTTTGGCTCCATGGCGATTGAACTGTTTGTATGTGATCTGAGCGCCATTCGGTAATAATGTGTGCTCAGATCTAAGCTATCTGGGGATATGTTGAATGTATATGTTTTATGCAGTATTTGTAACATTGTGTATTTTTATGTCTTTTTGCTAACGTGTGTAATGGAGTTTTGCCTCTATCCTTGGAGATAATTGGATTACTTCCCAATTATCTCCAGGATAGAGAGGAGGGATTATACTGTACTAGTGGGAGTGTTTCACTATGCATGTCTGTGATTGGTCACTGTGCAATTTGTGCCCCAGTCTTCCACCAGGTCCCCTAGGGGAGTGTCCACCTGGTGGAAGACCTGCATAAATACCGGGCAGGTAGCCCCATTAAACCAGATCATTGCTTGACCCCCAACACAGAGCCTTGTCTCGTTCTTGGGGGGGATTTATTGTATGCTGTTCCAGTTCGACTGCTAGGAGTGTAAACCTTTCGTATGGATTTTCCTGTTCGGCTGTTTGAAGCATTCGTATGGTTCCGGTTCGGGAGTTTGGAGAATTCGTATGGTTTTCTGTTTGGGAGATTGGTGTATGGAGTAGCTGCCTGTGAATCTGGAAGGGAATATCTCCTAAATGGCTTTTAACCCCTTTTATGCCTGGGGGTGCCGTTACATAGGGAAACCAGCATAGAATAGTGCACACAACAACAAGCTATAGGATAGCCTGGCCCTTCACTCTATATGCCCGCATATCGACAGTCACACTGCACAAGGATGTGGGGAGTCACTCCATCACTAAGTTTGCATGTATCGCTCAAATTATGAGACTAACTAGCATGACATCAACAGCTTATGTTGAAGCAAGAATGTAGAGTTTATTAGCTAGACTTCCATATACAAAAAAGTGCAAAGTATTTTACAATACAATGTTTTATTGCCATGTCTTGCAACTACCGTTTTTCAGTACAATCTAATATATACATGCTTGTACATGATTTAAATGCACTACCTAAATAAAGAATAAAAAAAAAATAAAAAAAATTAATGCAGATGGTACGAGACTAGATAAGATAATAGTGTGAGCTGGATATTACTCCGCTGCAGATTGATTTGGATAAATCGTGGCACTGGGCAGACAAGTATCAGATCAGATTCTGGGTACTTAACAGGAAAGTTATGGGATAAAGATCCCCCACTCAATTCATACTCTAAATAAGAATGAGTTAGGAATAGTGGTGAATGAAGAAACATGGGAAAGTTACAGAGAACAATGTGTAATACCAGTAAGTTGTTGCATATGCCAGTAAGGAGCTATAATGTCTAAAAAGGCATATTAGTTCAGGAGATGAAATATAATTCATTATTAAAAACTTTAATATATTTAAATTTGAACATCAGCTTTACTTAAGCATATAATATCAATGTGCATAGTGCATAGGCTAGATATGAAATTAACAAAGGTAATGGAAGATATTAATAAAGAAGAATCAGAGCTCCCAATAGTACTGCTTTCAGTGGGCAGTCCTATTTTCACACTTTACTATTTGTTTTTTTGTTTTTTTATACAATAGTTTTTTAATGTTTTGTCTGTTTATTGTGTTATATAATTGTAATAAAGTTAATCCTTTTAAATGTAATTTATTTTGGATTGTACTACTTTTTAAAAAACCTTTTTGGCTTCCTGGTTCCACACATCCCAGGTGGGAATTATACCAACAGAGCTCTACAGCAGCAGAGCAGGTCAATGCTTTGCTCTATGTAAATAGCATACCCACCTTTTGCTTTGTGCAGTTTTTTTTCCATACATACTGCACCATTAAATATCTCTCCCTTTTTGTTTTTACATATTGTTCTATTTTTTTTGGAGTGATATCACCACTGCTGACTTCTGTATATCCAGAGATGAGGATTGTACCGTCCAAACTGAATACACCAGAGCTCTTAGTAGCTCTATAAAGTGTGAGTGAGCCTTTGCTCACATTTTATCATTGTAACATATTGCACTATTATTTGTTTATTTCTTCTTTGAGATATCAGATACTACACAAATAAAGGCAGTTTGATTTATGTACAGTGCCTTGCAAAAGTATTCAACCCCTTGACTTTTTACCTATTTTGTTATATTACAGCCTTAAGTTCAATGTGTTATTAATCTGCCTTTTATGTGATGGATCAGAACACAATAGTCTAAGTTGGTGAAGTGAAATGAGAAAAATATATACATAAAACTATTTTTTAGAAATAAAAAAAACAGAAAATTGGCATGTACGTATGTATTCATCCCCTTTGTTATAAAGCCCATAAAAAGCTCTGGTGCAACCAATTACCTTCAGAAGTCACATAATTAGTGAAATGATGTCCACCTGTGTGCAATCTAAGTGTCACATGATCTGTCATTACATATACACACCTTTTTTTGAAAGGCCCCAGAGGCTGCAACACCTAATCAAGAAGCACCACTAATCAAACACTGCCATGAAGACCAAGGAACTCTCCAAACAAGTAAGGGACAATGTTGTTGAGAAGTACAAGTCAGGGTTAAATGGAAAGAACATGGCACAACAGCAAACCTGCCAAGAGACGGCCGCCCACCAAAACTCACGGACCGGGCAAGGAGGGCATTAATCAGAGAGGCAGCACAGAGACCTAAGGTAAACCTGGACAAGCTGCAGAGTTCCACAGCAAAGACTGGAGTATCTGTACATAGGACGACAATAAGCCGTATGCTCCATAGAGTTGAGCTTTATGGCAGAGTGGCCAGAAGAAAGCCATTACTTTCAGCAAAAAACAAAATGTATGGAGGAAGGTGCTCTGGTCTGATGAGACTAAAATTGAACTTTTCGGCCATCAAAGAAAACGCTATGTCTCGCGCAAACCCGACACATCACACCACTCAAAGAACACCATGCCCACAGTGAAACATGGTGGTGGCTGCATCATGCTGTGGGGATGTTTTCAGCAGCCGGGACTGGGAAACTGGTCAGAGTTGAGGGAAAGATGAATGGTGCTAAATACAGGGATATTCTTGAGCAAAACCTGTATCACTCTGTGCATGATTTGAGGCTAGGACGGAGGTTTACCTTCCAGCAGGACAATGTCCCCAAACACACTGGTAAAGCAACACTTGAGTGGTTTAACCCCTTCCCGACCGAGGACGGTTCAGGACCGTCATCTGCATTTTTGGCTTGCCGACCGATGACGGTCCTGAACCGTCCTAACGGTCCTATTTACTTACCTGATCGCCGTCGTTCCCCCGGCGGCGATCAGCGTGGCTCCGGTTGTGGGGAGACTGCCTGCAGCCCAGACAGTCTACCCACACTGATTAGGACCCCTGTGGCCATGTGATCGCTTAACACAGCGATCACATGGTCACAATAGGTGTCCATAGTGCTGCCTGCAGGGGGACTGCCTGTGCTGACAGGCAGTCTCCCTGCTAGTGTAAAATCAGCAAAAAAAAGTTAATGTTAATAAAAAAAAATAATAATAATTATATATGTGTATATATGATATATAGACATATATTATATCTATATAATATATGTCTATATATCATATATATAATGCCATACTAAGTGTATTTTTATATTAATATGTACTTATATTAATATAAAATACACTTATAATTAAATTACACACGTATATATATAATATATATAATAACTATATATATTGTATATATATATTATTATAAAATATAAATAATAAGTAATTTAAATTAAATAATTTTTTAAATAATAATAAAAAATTTAAAAAAAATTATATAGCTATATGAAATTTTATTCTAACTGTATTTTAAAATTAATATATATATATTTATATCAAAATACACTTAGAATGAATTTGTATATATATCTATGTATATAAAAATAAATAAAAATAATAGAAATATACATATGTCCATATACAAAATTACATAAATAATTATATAAATATACACGTAGACTTAAACTATATAAATATGCATATATATTTAAATTCTACGTGCATATTTATGTAATATTTTTACATAATTCAGTAATTTTATTGATTGCAAATTGAGGGACCTGCCTGCCAACCCAGGCCGAAATTCCAGAGAATTTAATTTGCTAGCACTGTATTTTACCCTGTAACGTTCTACGACACTCTAAAACCTGTACATGGGGGGTACTGTTTTACTCGGGAGACTTCACTGAACACAAATATTAGTGATTCAAAACAGTAAAACATATCACAGCGATGATATTGTCAGTGAAAGTTACTTTTTTTGCATTTTTCACACACAAACAGCACTTTTACTGATGATATAATTGTTGTGATACGTTTTCAGTTTTTAAACACTAATATTTGTGTTCAGCTATGTCTCCCGAGTAAAACAGTACCCCCCATGTACAGGTTTTATAGCATTTTTGAAAGTTACAAGGTCAAATATATGGGTCAAATATTTTTACATTGAAAATAGCCAGGTTGGTTACGTTGCCTTTGAGAGCGTATGGTAGCCCAGGAATGAGAATTACCCCCATGATGGCATACCATTTGCAAAAGAAGACAACCCAAGGTATTGCAAATGGGGTATGTCCAGTCTTTTTTAGTAACCACTTGGTCACAAACACTGGCCAAAATTAGCGTTCAATTTAGTTTTTTTACTTTTTCACACACAAACAAATATGAATGCTTACTTTGGCCAGTGTTTTCGACTAAGTGGCTACTAAAAAAGACTGGACATACCCCATATTGAATACCCTGGGTTGTCTACTTTAAAAAATATATGTACATGTGGGGTGTTATTCAGAGATTTATGACAGATAATAGTGTTACAATGTCACTATTGATAAATTTTAAAAATTTATGTTTTGAAACCGCAATATCCTACTTGTACCTATAGCCCTATAACATGCAAAAAAAAGCAAAAAAGCATGTAAACACTAGGTATTTTTAAACTCAGGACAAAATTTTTTATCTATTTAGCAGTTTTTTTCATTCGCTTTTGTAGATGAGTAAAAGATTTTTCAAGTAAAAGTCAAAAAACATGTATTTTTTTCAATTTTTCATCATATTTTTTTATTTTTTTTAAATTAAAATACATGAGATTATATAAATAATGGTATGTAAAGAAAGCCCCTTTTGTCCTGAAAAAAACAATATATAATTTGTATGGGAACAGTAAATGAGAAAGCGGAAAATTACAGCCAAACACAAACACCACAAAAGTGTAAAAATATGCCTGGTAGCAAATGTACAACATCGCAAAAACAGTCCAGTCCTTAAGGGGTTAAGAGGAAACATGTTAATGTGTTAGAATGGCCTAGTCAATCCAATAGAAAATCTGTGGTCAGACGTAAAGATTGCTGTTCACAAGCGCAAACCCTCCAACTTGAAGGAGCTGGAGCAGTTTTGCAAGGAGGAATGGGCAAAAATCCCAGTGGTAAGATGTGGCAAGCTCATAGAGACTTATCCAAAGCGACTTGGAGCTGTGATTGCCGCAAAAGGTGGCTCTACGAAGTATTGACTTTAGAGGGGTGAATAGTTATGCACATTGACCTTTTCTGTTATTTTGTCCTATTTGTTGTTTGCTTCACAGTAAAAAAAAAAAAAAACATCATCAAAGTTGTGGACATGCTCTGTAAATTAAATGATGCAAATCCTCAAACAATCCATGTTAAGTCCAGGTTGTGAGGCAAAAAAACACAAAAACTGCCAAGGGGGGTGAATACTTTTGCAAGGCACTGTATGTACATGCTTTATGCATTGTTGCACTTAAGGGTTAATATTTAGGAGTGGTTTATCTATTACTTGTTTTGTTTTATTGTGTACCGTCACAAGGTTGGTGAATCCAATTGTATGATTTAGTGGTGCACCACCTACAGAGTATAGTGAGCACATATTTTTATACCATTTCCTAGTCCTATTTGTAATGTTTTCCTTGGTACAAGTATAAATAGTTTCAGATTGGATATAGTCCTCTTTTGGATGAACAGCATGTACAAATGTGCCAGAGGTGAACTTGATGGACTTGAGTCTTTTTTTTTTTTTTAAATAGATTACTGTGTAACTAACTATTTGTGAGCAATTCCAGAGGAATTATGGAGTGTAAATGCAACTATTCTTACTTTCGGTATGACTGGCTCAGAATGATGGTGATGAATTATAGTCTGCTGCATGTGAAGTACAAAATAAGGTATGTTTGTGCTGTTTAGACTCTGCAAATGAAAATGGAATCATTTATACTTTGCAACACATGGATTGCACTGCAGATGCTATGGTCTATACCATCTTTTCTCAGCCTGCCTGACAATGATGAAAGTTACACTCCATAACTGCAATGGCAATGTTCCAAAATGGAGTTCCAAAGACATTTGTAAAGCAACTATAGCATTTGCCATTCAAATATCGACATCCAAAAAGCATACTTGCCTTCATTCGATTCCACGAGCAGAACAGCAAGGGTCAACCAAGTCTTTATTATGTTATCATCTGCAGCAACAATGAGTCACTAATGAGACTGTGGACTCAAAAGATTCCTTGGGTGTCTGTCATTTGTCAACTATATGTGTCCTATCATAGTCCATTTGCATTTCAATCTTGTGACCTATATTACAGACATAATGATTTTGCTTTTGTAGAGTAATATTTTATTCTGAAGAAAAAACTACAAGTTAAAGATATAGGATGTACCCAATCTGTTGCTCAAACGTGGGTAGAAGAGGTAATAATGGCATAACCCAGAATACACATCAATAAACCAAAACTAATGAGAGAGGGATCCTATCAAGAGAAGGAAGGGCCCAATCCCACTGAAATTACCTCCAATTTAAATCATTTAAGTCATCCAAGATAATGGCAAAAAAGAAATATAAATAAAAATCAACTTTATTAATATTAGAGAACCAACAGACTATACACATAAAGATATAGAAAGAATAATGTGCAGTGTAGCATAAACTAGAAAAGCTACAATTTCTGGGGAAATTGTGTGAAGTGTTCTTGCCTCCACCAGTAGTCTACAACTGGAGTAGGCGGAGTAACTGGGTGGAGTGGCTAGAGTAACTGTGGAAAGGTTGGACTGGGCAGAGTAACTGTGTGGAGTGTTTGGAGTGAGTAAAGATAGTAAACATTACACTAACCAATTGATTGATCAAATTTAAAAAGTACACATGGCAAGCTTGATAGAGTGAGAAATGCATTTCAACTTTTATTTATTTATATAGCACATTTAATTGCAACGTTGTTGCCCAAAGTGCTTCACAGTTACATTAAAACATTCATTTATAAAAACATTAGCAGGTGTACAAAAGGCCCTGTCTATGACATCACTTGCTGCTCCAGCCAGGCACAGGTCAGAGTATTTTGGCGGTTGCCATCTTCAAACAGTCGTATTTTAAAAACTATAAATCCTACAGCGAAGAGCTTTATATTGTGAGAATCACAAGACCCAGACCTACATTTTGATGCATGTATTACATGTCTCTGATGTATTACAAATGAAGGCACAGTCGCAGTTTAGAAATTGCCCTTCAAATTTGAGCTGGCTAGAGTGGAGTTTCAATGTGTAACGGACCTTTTCAGCACACAAGGGGTTAAAACCGTTTAGGCGATCGTCCCCCTTTCCAGAGATACAGGCACAGCTACTGCAGAACACCAATCTGCCGAACAGGAAACCACATGAATGCTGTAAACAGCCGAATAGGAAAAACCATACGAATAGGTTTACACTCCTAGCAGTCGAACTGGAACAGAATACATTAAATCCCCCCAAGAACAAGACAAAGCTCCGTGTTGAGGGTCAAGCAGTGAATAGACAGAGCTGTGGGTTTATTGTGCTTATGTACACATTCTTACACATTAGTACCACCCACAGGGTTTTGGAACACAACCAATAAACACATACAATACACTCAGACACTCCCACACAAATTCCTCCCCTCTGCTTGTGATTCAATTACCT